CCTGGACACCAAGCTGGCTGGCCAGCAGTGCCCTGACTGTGTGGCAGATGTGGCCCAGGAACCTGTACATGAGGCAGAGGAGAGACAATTGCTGCTGGCCCTGCCCCGGCCACCCACGGGACAGCCTAGGGCAGAGGGATAGGCTGCCCCAGCCGCTGTGGGACTTCAGAGCAGAGCAGCCCCACAGCCCAGCCCCAGGAGTTAGAGCAAGCTGACGGCGATCCAGCACAGCGCAGCCAGCAGCCAGAGCTCCCAGGACATGCAGCCCAGCTCCCCGGGCAGGCAGCAGAGCCGCTATGCCCTGTGGCCAGCCCGCCCTGCCCGGCTGTCTCCCAGCCTGCCTGTTTTTGCCAGCGTCCCTGGGTAGGGAGTGCCACTATGGGCTGCCAGCACCACCCTGCAGGTGCAGCACCCAGAACTACCCTCCACCCACGGTACAGCATCCAGTAGCTCCCCCGGGGTTAGAAAGCATCACGGTCTGCTGGGAGCAGACTCCAGGCTGGATTAGGATTCCCTTAACTGGGCAGAAGAGACCTGGAGAACACAAGATACCATAAAAAGGCAGTTTAGCTTCAAACCAGATTCCCAAACCAGCTCTTCAGTTCTGCTGCAGGTATCAGTGCAGCAGGTAACATTGGCCAGGAAAACAAACTGCTTGCAGTATAAAAGCAAGCCCCCTAAAAGGGGAGGCAGGCCACCGGGGTGCTGAAAGTGCTGGAGATCCCAAAGAACAGGCTGGAGCAGCTGCAGCCTGCACACTCCCTCTACACGCACAAGGTGCTCTAAGAAAACAGCACTCAAAAATGGAAATTTGCCTTCTGCAGAAAGCAAAGGGAGCAGCGGAGAGGCCCATTCAGCAGGTGGCCAGGGCAAAGCACAACACCTCCTTTGTGCAGGCTCCTGACAACAGAGCAGTCCCCCATTGCCTCATGCCTGCCAGCTGCTCCTATGCGCTGTGCCCAGCTGCCAACACAGCCGGGGCAGCGTTCCCCAGCAAGGGCAGAGCGGAAGGGGTTCAGCTCCAAACCGCCACAGGAAGGCGTTAATTTAACCACGGTCCTCGCCTAGTACCCCGTTTGCCCTCTGCTCAACAGCAGCATAAAACATTAGCATGACTTCAGGTCCACGACTCTTGTTTATGGTCCTTTCTTTGATCAAGGCAAGAGTCGTTTAGCACAGCAAGGAGCAGTTTGCATTTAACCAACCTGAGCAAACATTATTTGCTTGGTCGTCTTTACATTATCCTCCACTCGCTCACACAAACACCTCAAGTGGCTTGGCAGGTCTGGTGGCCAAAGATTTTCACAACAAGCAGCGTCATCCCAAGTCTCAGGTCCTGGGGATTTCTGAAGGGTCTACATCAGGACACAGCCTGTTCAGCAAGGACGCTTGTGGAGAATCATAGAATTGTCAGGGTTGGAAAGGACCTTAAAGATCATTTAGTTCCAACCCCCCAGCCATGAGCAGGGACATCCCCCACTAGACTGTGGTGCCCAGAGCTCCATCCAGCCTGGCCTTAAAAACTTCCAGGGATGGGGCTTTCACCACCTCTCTGGGCAACCTGTGCCAGTGTGTCACCACTCTGCCAGACCCAGCTGGCAAGAAAGGGCAGAGAACACAGAACACACAGGTAAGTGCAACTAATCTAGGAATTCAAAATGCTTGAAAGGAGACAAAACAGACAAAGTCTGGAGAAAGGCAGACTTTTTCTTGGTTGAGGAGGATCAGGTTAGAGATTAGTTATGTGAACTGGATACCCTCAAGTCCATGGGTCCTGCTGGGATGCACCCACAAGTGCAGAGGGAGCTGGCAGAAATCATCCTGGCCCAGTGGCTGGGCCACTCTCCACCACATCGTTAAAAGGTCCCAGAGAGCAGACAAGATATGTGAAGACTGGAGGAAAACCAGTGTCACTCCAGTCTTCAAAAACGGCAAGAAGACCCAGGAAACTCCAGGCCAACCAGCCTCACATCCATCCCTGGAAAGATGATGGAACATCTTGTTCTGGGCATTATCTCAAAGGATGTGGAGGAAAAGAAGGTTATCAGTAGTCAGCATGGATTCACCAAGGGGAAGGCACATCTGCATAATGTGACAGCCTTCTACAACAGCATGACTGGATGGATAGATGAGGGGAGGGCAGTGGATGTTGTTTACCTTGACTTCAGCAAGGCTTTCAAGTACCCTCATAGGCAAGCTTAGGAAGCGTGGGTTAGATAAATGGACAGTGGGGTGGATTGAAACTGGTTGAAAAGAGAATTCAGGGTTGTGATTAGAGGCAGTCTAGTTGGAGGTCTGTAACAAGTGATATCCCCAGGAGTCAGTAGTGGGTCCAGTTCTGTTCAATATATTCATCAATGATGTGAATGAAGGTACAGAGCGTACCCTCAGCAAGTTTGCTGATGACACAAAACTGGGAGGAGTGGCTGACACAGCAGAAGCCCGTGCTGCTATCCAGCATGACCTGGACAGGCTGGAGAGTTGGACAAAGAGTAACCTTATGAAATTCAAGAAGGGCATGTGTAGGGTACTCACCTAGAGAGGAACAATCCCATGTATGAGTACAGGCTGGGGGCCGAGCTGCTGGAAAGCTGCTCTGTGGAAAAAGACATGGGAGTCCTGGTGGACAACAGGATGCCCATGAGCCAGCAACGTGCCCTCGTGGCCAAGGCAGCCAATGGCATCCTGGGGTGCATCGAGTGTGGCCAGCAGGTTGAAGGAAGTCATTCTTCCCCTCTGCTCTACCCTGGTTGAGGCCGTATCTGGAGTACTGTGTCCCAGTTCTGGACTACCCCGTTCAAGGACAGGGAATTGCTGGAGAGCGTACAGAAAAAGGCTACAAAGATGATTAGGGGACTAGAACATCTCTCTTATGAAGAAAGGGGCTGAGGGACTTGAGGCTTTTTAGTTTGGAGAAGAGGGGGGATCTCATCAATGCCTATAGACGCTTAAAGGGTGGGGGCAGTCTTTTTTCAGTGGCACCCACTGACAAGAGGTAACAGGCACAAACTTGACTGTAGGAAGTTCCATCTAAGCATGACGAGGAACTTCTTTACTTTGAGTGGCAGAGCACTGGAACAGGCGCCCAGAGAGGTGACGGGGTCTCTGTTTCTGCAGATACTCAAAACCCACCTGGACACCACCCTGTGCAACCCGCTCTAGGCAAACCTGCACTGGCAGGGGACTGAACTAGATGATCTCCAGAGGTCCCTTCCAACTCCTTACATTCTGTGAAACTGAACAGAAAAAACGTTTTAAAACTTCAGTAAAGGATACTCCAACTCCAGTTTAACAGGGAAATTGGCAGATAATAGCTTCACACAAGATAGGACAAAAAGAAATGAGTATTTCTGAGCAATCAAGTCCCTAGAGTATTTTAAGGGACAAAAGCAAAACCATCCCTCCAAGGAGGGTGGGGAAATCTGATCAGAGAACAATTAAGTCTAGGACACAACCTCTTCAGGAAACAAAGGCAAGAAGCATCTTCCCCAGGAGAACCAGATTAAATAGTCTCTCTAGGGAACCGACTTTCCACTGGGTACACTTGGCTTAAAATACCATTGACTATATTAATTCAGCATAATTATACTTCAGTTTTACAGGTGGGAGGGAAGTATCTCCCCTCCAGTGATGTAAGAACTTGAGGGCAGGGACCCCAGGGGCAACAGAAGCCAAGGCGAGAGCTCTGCTGCCAGGGGACCCTCTGCACACACCGTGCAAACTGGTTGTGCAGGACAAGCACACAAAGGGTCACAAAGCCAAAACCAGCTTGGCTGCATGGCCCACATCTGCTGGGGTATGAAAGCAGTTGCTTTCACAGCTCCATCCACAGTTAAGACCTGGTAAGTAAAAAATTACAAGGCAGCAATTCCTTTTTTAGGAAGAGACCAGTGTCATCTGTTACTCTGCTTCACCACCCAAAAACAAAGCACAACTTGACTTCGTGAGCCTTTCCAGTCCTATCATTACTCCTTGAGCTGGACTATGAATGAAGAGCACTAAGTGCACAAATATTTTCCCAGCAGGACAACCACGGAGTAAATCTCACTGAAGTCTGACCCCAAGTATGGTCTTTTCAGCACCAAATATGAATGTACTCATTAAAATCTGCTACTATGACACTTCAGTGATTAGGTCAATGCCTGACAAGTCAGGGAGGCAAAACATGACACCATATAGGAAGTAAAATTTCAAATGTATTTAAGTACAAATTAGCACCAGATTTTTGGCCAGTCACACAGAGCTAATGTTTTAAAATACCAACAGGAAGTCACACAGAAAAACAGTTGATACCAGCTCAGTGTGAAGGACATAAAAGAAGCATTTTCCTTGCACTATGTGCCATGCTCTGCTCTGCCTTAAATTGGGAAATAGGGAGCATTTTCAGTACCAGATTCTACTGAACAGGACTGGTATAGCAGAGATGGAAGAGGCCAATAAAGATTCTTTTACCTCATTTTTGAACATACTAAAGTGTTCTGTCAAATCAACAATTTATTTTTTTTTTTTTAAAAAAGAGATGAGCAATAGTGTCTCAAAATATAACGAACACCACCCATTCAAAATTCAACTGTTTAAAGATTTTAGTTTTACAGGGCTTGTTTTGATCCCAACAGCTATAAAATACATCCTTTATGGAAGGAAAACACATTGCTGCACAGCTCCATCTGCTCCCATTGAAAGGATGTTTCAGCAGCAGTCAAACATGTGGCCAGGCTTCCAGATAACAGGAACATCTAGGTCTCTCGTTCTCCAAGGGGATGAGCTCCAACTATGGGAGCTCAGGCCAGTCCGTAGCACGGAGCTGCTCACAGATGAGCCAGTGATGCCCACTTATCCTTTTTTCCCCCGCTCAGTTCAGGGCCACAGGACAGTGCAGTCCATGCCTTGGAAAGGTCAGGTATTGCTGTCACAGCTAAGCTTCCAGGTGCTTAGTGATCCTGCGAATTTTCTCCTTCTTGTTCCTGTTTCCGTGTTTTTTCCAGGGCTTTCCTACCACACTCCCAGAATTGGGTGTAGTCACAGGCACGAGGCCACTGCCGGGCCGGTATCCCATTGCAGCCCGCACCCCTTTCATCAGGGCACGAACGTTCTCCTGGAAGAGAAGACAATCACCAGCGACTGATGAGAAGACACTTCACCACAAGGAACTGTGCTGGTACTAAAACCAGACACAAGCAAGCTCAAACCCATCAAGACCTGCTCATCCTCCTGCCCCAGAGCTGCAGGGAAGTTCAGGCCACGCAGCCGAGTCGGAGCCTCCCAGTACGCTCCAGTTGTGCCCACAGCCGTGCCTCGCTGCGCCAGGTCCTCAGCGTCTGACACTGCCCAGAGGCTGAGCTCCGACAGACATTAGCCTCGGCGCTGGGACTGATCCTCACGGTCTCTGCTCTGCACACAACAAACTGTCTCTGCAAATAAACGTGGCGTCTGTGAAAGCCAGAACTAAAATAACTTACTCTAGTCTGGAGTGTGGGTAGCGCTGCCAGGGCTCACAGCTCATGCCAACACTTTGGGCAGCCAGAGGAAGAGTCTGGTAATCCCAAAAATTCTTTTCAGGTCGTAACTCTCTGAAACAGCTCACCGTTTTTTGAAAAGGACCCGCGTTCTTGTTTTCAAAATGCATGACTATCTTTAGTTGTGCCAAAACAAATACTGCTCGTATCCAACCAAGCAAGCAGAATGGATCACACTATCTATGATCTCTCCACTGCTAAACACCTTGTCCTGATCCTTGTCGGGTATACAGACTTAATTAGTTATGGATGTGACACCTCATCACAAGTCACTAATAATTTTTTTCAGTAGCCTAGGAATAAAACAGATCCCTGTCGCACCTAACAAGAAGCCATACAAGAACAATTCCCATTTTCCACCTCATTTTGAGATTTCTCAGTTAGATTTAAATCCATGCTTTCGTCTGAGTTCAGGTTCTGAGTCAAAACCTTCACGTAGTACTAAATCAGTTGTCTTGAAGTTTATCATATCCCCTAAATATATCATATCTCAAGAAAGGAAAGTTAGCTCGAAGAGCCCAATAGACTAAACCATATTCCTGCTCGGCTGCTCTGTCCCACCACCGTTCTTCCTTGCGTTAGCTCCCAGTCACTCTCCTGTTTGCTCAAGATCAACATTAGGCTCGTAATTACGAGGGTCACCCTGCTGACCTTCAAAAATCAACAACACGCATCTCATTAGCTATCTTTTAGTCACCTAGGACTTTCCCAGTGATGTAAGAAATAACAAAAAGAATAGAGCACACTTGGGTAGATATTATGCACAGATGCCAATGGCATCTAACACCATTAACTCAACCCAGCACCCCTTCATCCTCAAAGCTGTTTTTTGCTGTAACTGTGACACACCAGTGCTGTTGTAAAAAGTTCTAGAATGAGCCTCCTTCAGAATTTACCTGGTGGAAAAATGTTTTGTCCACCACATTTTCAATTTGTTTTGCTTTGGTATTCTTCTCAGGCTTCACCTGTCCACTGGCCTGTAGGGTTCTCTTCTCTGGGCACCTTTGATGCTGATGCTGAAAATCATTTGGGTCAATGCCAGGAGGTGGATGGCAATATAACAGCTTCCCCTGTGAAAACAATGGGATGCAGTTACCACCAAAAAAACCCATACAAAAACCAATCCTCAGAGAGACATCCAGAGAGGAAAGAAAACAACTTCAAAGCTATGAAGAGCCCTGGACGTCCAGGGCTTACACTGGCAGTCTATCTGTACAATTGATTTCTCCTCCCAGGCAACAACTGGCTTGATTTCTCACTTAAAGCAAGATCAACATTAGGCTCGTAAGCACCATTCTACCTCTACTTTAAAGCACCATTTCCAGCTGCAAACAATACAGTGCAAAACTCTCAGGAGTACTAGAGGAATCTATTAAGAAATACTCAACGACAACTTGTTGATGGATGCTGTAGAAGCACGCGGCTTTACAACACAGAGAACTACAGTCCTTAGTGCCAGATACTGGCCTAAGTACACAGCATGGGTTAGTTTGCGGAATACCTGCTGCCTATGTTAGAGATACGATAATATATTGACCTCGCACCTTATTTTTAAGCAATCATTTTTATAACAGTAAGCAGCTTGAGAAATTCCATTCATTCTTTTAAAATATAAAACCAGCCTGATTGAAAGAGTATTTCAATATTTGCCAATTTTATCCAGAGAAACAGAATTCACTTCATTGAATTCTTTTATGCTCCACTGAAACCTTCAACTGACTTCCTAGCAGGAAAGAAAACCCAGATGTAAATAGAACTTACACTGACATAGTCTTTTAACACATATCGAGCTGATCTCGGTTGGTCTGGCTGTCCATGAGCTGTCATAAAGCCTCTCATATCTGAAAGACAAATCGAAAGTATGTTCTGTGTCTGTAGAACAAAAAAATTAACACATTCTTCTCTGCTGTCTAACTGCACATTTGCATCCTTTCTCAAAAAACAACTGTCTTAGAGGCTTCTGCTGGGGAAAGCAGGGAAAAAAGGGAATGTTGCTGACTCCAGAAGCATCCTAACCTGAAAGGAATGATGAGAGCTGACATCTCCCTACCACCAGAAAACCTGCTCTCTTTTTATTTTTGTGTTAAGGCCAGAGAAGATTAACTGCATCAGAGAATCAGACAAGGGAGATAAAGCTTCACTGCATTCTTCAAAGTCTAATTCAAGGCACAGTTCATGGGAGGCATCCAAAAAGGCTGAGACCATCTACCACACTACACAGACTAACGGGGCATTTCACCAAGATCCTCAACACAATCACTACATCTGTCGGACGAAACTGGGAAAGCACCACAGCAACAAACGAGATGGGCTCTTAACAAAGGTCCTTCTCAAGAGAAGGGAGGTTCAGTGCATGACAACCCTGCGTTGGGTTTCACTCTAAAAAATTCTCCTAAGGCTGTGTTCAGGACCTCGTACACAGCTTAGGCGACAGGTTTGAAAGGGATCATCACTCACATCCATATGCTGTTAGCAGTTCTTCAGCTGTTGGCTTTCGATCTGGATCCTCATCTTCCCTTGGCCTTATGATATGTATTCCATAGGTTGCTTCCAAAATGTTTCGTGGGATATGCTGGCAAACGTAAGCTAGTGAAGGAAATCACCCAGTGATCTGCAGCTACACAAGTAATCTTGCTCTAGCCACTCCAAGAGCACACATTAAGAACGACTTTTGAATTTTGTTGCACACCAGGAAAATGATGCAAGTCCAACAACAAGACAAACTTGAAGTGAGATGGGGAAAGACCAACAGAGCAGGGCTGTTTTACCTAATGTCTGTCCCCACCACCTTCAACACATGAGCATGCATGCCCCTAGCAGGGCTGGAACATGCTACTTGGCACACTCCAGATCCAGTGCTTGCAGACACTCTCACAAAACTCATGCAAAGGATATTAGAGAAATGGGTGGGACATGGTCCCTCATCTGGTCTATAGGCAGAATTCCAGAACAAATCATTTCTGCTTTGGTAGAGATGAAAGATGGCATCACCAGACCAGGGCAATCACACAGGCACAGGCCAGGCTCCACATACAGGGTCTACATAATAAATAACCAATGAGTTCACCATAGCAAGTCAGTGTCCATGGAGAATAAAAGGAAAAAAAATAAAGAAAAAAAGTCAAATGCATAGATGGAACAAGGATGCACATGAGATTAAGCAGAAATTCTGCTAACACAGACAACTGCCCTGCTGGTCCCAGCCAATGAATTAAGAAAATATGACGTGAAGGATGGCAGCACTTCCAAGGTTCATAAATAAGGTGTCCAGAGGGGGGCAGCAAGATCTGCTGCTGCATTGGAGCTGCTATTTCTAAACTGAGAGCTTGATCAATATGGAAATGGCAGCATAATTAGACTTGCTCACATAAACCATCCTTCTTGTCTGTGGTCATTGCTAACTTGACCATAAGCTACTCAGAGGAGCACTCACTTTTCAGAGGTTCTCTTCTCATGACCAGCATTGGAAAAAAAAAGGCCAAGCTACTTAAATAAAATTAGAGACATAAAATTTCTCCTATTGCACAGCAGCTCTCATGGGTGACTCTGAAGCTGTAGCAAGACTTCAGAAGCAAGAACTATAGTTGCAAATTCATATAAATCAAGCCTACCCCTCTCCAATCTAAACTCTCCTCATAATAAAACTCTCTTCCACTGGGAGAAATAAGCAAATAAACAAAAAGACTAGTTCTCTTTGCTAGCAATACCTGAAAGTGTTTTGTACGGCCTGGTGTAGCAGACACTGATACCTTCTTATTTCCAAGGATTGTGTTGATAGTAGAACTTTTGCCAACATTAGGGTAACCTACCTAGACGACAAAGAAGTGGAATGGTAACAGTGGCACTGGGCAGGGTGATGCCAGAAGACTGACAGAGCTCTTGACACAAAAGTACTTCTAAAAAAAATTAAGGCAAGCCATGGGGAACACTGAGCTCCAGGAACTTCAGAATTAATCTCTGCACAAAACCCTCAGTGATTTGTGTTTGTTAGGGGTTTTTACCCTTATAGGAAGCCAGGCTACAGGACAAGTGGTTCCCATGGAAGGCATGGAATTAAAATTTAGATTAAGTAAATCCTATTTGAGCACCAAGTCCAACTCACCAGCCCAACATTTACTTCCCCATCCTTCACCCTCGGTCCATTGTGCATTGTTTTGAATATTTCCAGCAGTTCATTTCTCTGTACCAGATGGCTGAAGTTCCTGATGTTCCTGTTCTGCTCCTGTACCACACGCTGCACTGCAGCACCATCAGTCCTGCTTTCCATCCTTTCCAGAGCAAGAGCATTTACTTTGCCTGCACCTTCATCCTCAGAACAGGTTTGCCAGGTCTCCTCTTCATCATCTTCACAGTCTTCATATTCATCACTACTGTCATTGTCACTAAGCAGAACTCGGTTCCCAGTTTGTGAAGCACTGCCTGTGGACGTGCTTTCTGCGCTATCTTGTGCTGCGTCATCTTCTTCTTGACTGGAGCTTTCATCCTCAGAATCACTCAGCTTCTCTGCTGCACCTTCAGTGTCTGGTTCCTGTGTAAACAGTATTTCCTAAGTGAAATGCAAAGACAAGTCTCGCTGTTGACTGCAGGTGCTGCAGTGCAGTCAGCGGTGTTTCCATCAGCCAGATCCCAAGGACTGACAATTCTCCGCTTACATCATACAGGTTTTTCAGAGGTCTTAAGTGGGATGTAGAAACCACTAGCCCATTTTAGGAGAATGACAAAAGTATTTCAGGAGGGACTGTTACCTTCACTGTGAAGCTAACCACTGTCAGAGTTTTCTCTCCAGAAGTACAATTCTGAACGTGCCCACAGCAGTCTTACACAGAGCAGCAGAGCCCAACAAATTAATTTTTTTTTTTTTTTAAATGATCAAGCGTTCCTAGTAATAGGAATGAATGCCCAACAAATTAATTTTTTTTTTTTTTTAAAATTATCAAGCGTTCCTAGTAATAGGAATGAACGTATATTTTTCAAAATGTTCTGAACTAAAAGCCATTTTGTGTCAGGTCTAAAAATTTCATTAAAATAATTTCAAACTGTCTTGTTCTCAGTCCAGCTCCAAAATAGTACCTTGATCTTTCTTTCTAAAAATGAAAAACTTTCAGTCTCACTTTTACATCAATCTTTAAAATCATTTTATCCAATGACCATAAACCAGCTGAACAGATTAGGCATTTTTGGAAGGAGATACAGGATATTCCATTGCCGAACAGGGATAGATGTAACAGGCGAACCCAGTAAAGCCCAAAAGTGGCACCCACTGATAACACTTAACTTCGGGCAGCAGCACAGTTTGTTCCACTGCACAAAGAAAGACTCTCCAGTACTTTAGGTTCTTTAAGAAACATCTCTCCCTCGGAGAGGAAGAATCCACTGTAGAGATAACCATGTCTCTCACAGCATCCCTTTTGGAAAGGATTCCATTTATGTCAATGAGTAAAGCATCTGCAAACAGATCTACAAGGGCTGTACCTGCAGTTATTCATCAGTAGCCTTAAGGAATAAATCTACATTCCAGTTCAATATTATTTATCCTGTCATTAACCTCGAAAGAAAACTGCAGGCACCATGAACAGTGACCGAGTAGCACACCACTTTGTTCACCATTTTAGTCTCCTCACTTTTGTCTCTGAATCAATCGTAAAAATGCAGGTTTACAGCAACACAGGTCCTTAGAATAATCCCTCCTTGAGATGAGGACTGTGGTCTTCCCAGATATACCTTAGCTCAGGTGTATCAGAAGCATAACTACAGAGCAAGTGATCAGAGGCAGCCAGCATGTATCCAGATGGAAGTGGACACCTACAGTACCTTTGCTTCTCCGGAGAGCCGTGCGCACTCTGCCAAAGCCGACCAGAACACCACCTTAACGCCCTCTTTCTCAAAGAACTGTGCCCAAGCAGCCCGCTGCTCCTCACTCAGCAAATCTGCTTTGTTTATCAGGATCATGTTCTCCTTGTCACTGCTGACCTCCTTAACGTAACTTTCCTGAAGAAAACAAGAGAAGGATACATTTGGACTCCTCCTTCCTGCAAGGTGGTACAAGTGCAGCCAGACAAGTTACCCCATCCAGCTCCACACGAGCGTAGGGCGCCTTATCGGTCCCCGGGCTAGATGGAACTGGTGTTTAGCAGACAGCTACTAGAACAAATGGGAGTATGCAGCTACTGCAATTCAGGTTGTTTCTGCCACGTGTGCAAATATGTTGTCTGCTTAGAGCTATGACAAGATATTAATCAGCATCTCACAACAGGAACTCCTAAGATCAACTATTTGAGCAATTTCGGATCTCATTAATGCACAGTGTTCCATAGTCTATCATTACAAAGTTGTCACTTCAATAATTCTTATCCTTAATTTTCAGCACAGTAAATCTATTCTACTATGCTTTTCAATAGAACAATTCCTTTAAGTGCAAGCAGCTCTAGTAGGTAATACAGAGCAACACCATCTGCAATACAACATCTACAGAACCGCCTCTAAATCCACAACACTGAACAAAATATCAAAAAAAATAAACCACTGAAGGAAAGTAATTTGATTCCAGTAATTTGATTCCAGAATACTTGCATAAATACAATACCCAGTTAGGCTATCCAGAACAGCTTCAAGGTGGCTGAATGTATAAAACAAAAAATAAATCATAAACTCTAATAAAATGAAGACAACATTCAAGAAAGTGGTTTACTCACCAGATCTTGGCATCTAAACAGAAGAGGGTTTCTAGCATCTACTATCTGGACTACAATATCACTGCAAAAATAAAAGAAAGCCCCATAAAGTACTCTTTTGTACCTTGCCTCAAAGAAAGCAGTAAGGCACAGCATGTTACTCGCTTCTAGGCTTGGAATTTTAATGGTTTTAGCTGTGTTACTATACTAAGTACCTGATTTAACAAAGCATCTCAGCATCCCACACGTCCCAACAGAGTCGTGCTTCTGCTACAAGCTGGTACTGCTGTACAGGGCTTCTGCCTCACTTGGCCAAGTCTCCTGCACAGCCAGCAAGGGGAAAGGAAGCATGCAAGTTTTGCCAGTCCATCGACCCTTCAGAAATGCTCAGCAGGCAAGAAACTGAGCAGTGGTATTTGATCCCTTCAAATGTTACCAAAAACTGTGACAACACAGATTTATTTCTGTCTGTTCTCACCCCCAAACTGCAGTGGAGTGGCTACAGAGAGGAAAAAGGTGGTTTTCCTACACAGCGAGATACTCTGTTGACCCCTTCGCATGGGGCAGGATGCACAGTTTCCCACAAATGACCCGCAGATTCTAAGCATTTGCGCTTTCAGAATTTCCTTTGTGCTTTTCTTGTAACAAAAACCATAGAACAGTGAAAGACGTCTTAGACTCCAATAAAATATGTTGCTCCCCCATGCAAGCAAGGCCTTGCACGTGTGCTTTTAGGAAACGTTTCCCAAATCCAGGCACCAGGTTGCTACCACATCTGTGGGCAAGACTCATTGGTTCTACACACAAATTAAATGTGCTGGCTTCAGATACCAGAGGCATCCATGCTTCTTTCCTCAAAAGAAGGGGAAACATTTAACAACAACCTCTCCCACTAGAACTTCTTCAGGCAGGTAATTTAAAATACTGGTTGCCACATGCTGATTCTATTTGTCTGACAGGGATTTCTGTTAACTCAGAACAGATTCAGAACACCACAGGTTGAATGGAAGAATTTCAAGCCTCACTAGGCAGCTGGTTACATACAAAAAAAAGATAAATCAATAAACCCCTGAAGGGAGTCGTTTAATAAGCTGCATGGGTACAAAGAGATACTGAACAGTTACAGAAATTCAAAGATCAATATGAGAGAAAGCTGACACCATGGTACTGGGATGAGATACAGAGAAGTTACTAAATCAGTGCTGGGAGCTAGCTGGGAACAAACACAAGGAAAAGCTGGCAACAGATCAAATTATCTGTCAAGGTAAGCGACTGGATGACTTTCCTGTTCGATTCTGAGACAGCATCCTCACTCTACATGAAATTAAAAGCTCCAATAAGAGCAGAAAGGCATTAACAACACATTCCACCCTCCTCAAAACACACAATACACCCACACTGCACATCACAGTACCCTGTAGTGGATGCTCCCAACCCCGCTCTCCCAGCCAAAGGCCCAGCAGACACACCATACAAAGCGACCTCTGTGAAAGGACCAGCTCACTATGACCTCACTGGTGAAGTATTTTTCAATTTTAGGAAAATCAGACGAGATGATCTCAAACTTAATTACTAGTGAAATTAAATGCCCCAGTTAGATTAAGGCAGCAGATAGCCCTCCTATTGTATTACAGCTCATCAGAGCAAACAAAGCTATTTCTGTGACATGACAGGCTGTTGTCTTTTGTGCACTGCTGCCATTTCTCTGCATGGTAAGAAGCCAAGGACCAAGAGGCTCTTTCTTTCCCAACGTTATTTAATTGATCTCCCTTGCCTCCTGCCCCTGAATGTCACGCTGCAGCTGCATAGTTAAAAAAGAGGGGAAAGGGTTAACCCTTGGCAAAATACCTCAACGACAAATACCTCAACGACACATTCTCAGAAGAGGTCTCCCACACAGACTTACTGGAAGAGGCCAAGAGCAGCATCTGAAGAATCATCAGAGAGTCCGAAGAACCATCAGAGACTCAGAGCAAACTGCCTGCAGAATGGCAGTGCTGAGCACTAGTGTGCACCACTAGGCAGCTCCCTTCTTCACATCGCATTTTGACCACTTCAAAACAAGATTACTTCAGTGCCAGAAATAGAGCATTACTAACTGTGTCTTTCCTGTTCTCAGACACTTGAAGCTCGACTCAAAAGCTTTAGTTCAAGAAAACACATTAAATATTACTTTTAAAAAGCAGTTAGTGACACACCTTACCTTCTTTCAATGACTCTCCAAAGCTGACGCCAAAATTCCAAGTTTCGTTCAAATGGGGTTAGAATTAACTTTTTTTCTTCCTCAAGGCTAAGGCAAAACAGAAAAAAGACGTCATATTTGGCCCACTTCAGGCAATAAGCACACCACCCACTCTTCCTGAGATCCAGAAGGCTTTTGTTTCAGAGCCCTATCAAATCAGACTTAATATAGGTACTCTTTCTGCTAGCTGTGCAAATAGATCAAGGGCACGGGTAAACTGCTGTCAGTGGAACTAGTTCAGCAGTGACATAATGGCTCCTGATGATGCCAATGGGGAAGGGATAAATAGTGGAAAGAGCAAAAACTCATCAATAAAGCAGAGAAGTTACCCCAAATGCCAGCAGTTATTACTCAATCAAGTACCATCTGGGAAAAAAATAATGAATTTGGAGATGGGACCTGAAATGGCTTTATACATCCCTTTATTCACTGCTACCACCGCCTGAACGCCTTTACTCAGGGCAAACATGGGTTCACCTGTGCTCTAATTCCCCAGGCCAGCAGATGTAGACCAGCACAAGCTACTGTACACAGGCTAGCAGCACTGCCAGAGCAGTCCTGTTGCTCTTAGAAGGCACATTCACCACTCCCCCACTCTACAAGCAAGAGCAGAACATCACAATCCATCCTGAAGAACAGTACAAGAACATGCACACGTGAAGAAGCTCTGCAGAGCCCACCACAAAGACACATCTGGACTGTAGCTGAGACGTCCAGAACAACTACAGGGAGCTACAGACAAGGTGCTGATTTTATAGGTCCAGCAAGGAAAAATATAACCCCGTTTCCTGCATCTCTAAATGCCATGAGCTACTTACCCAGATACAAGTGGCATACTCACTGGGCAAGCTGTCGCCTCCAATCGAGAAAGCTCTCTCTCTCTGCTTGCTTCAAGTCCTCTGCACTGGTTGTCCTATCCCAGCGTGGCCTGTAAAAAGCACATTTTGGAGTGAGTAGTCAGAAGCAGCAGTTGGACCCATCACATTACTGCAATAAACACACTCAGCTACACTGAGATTATTACAGTTCAGACGTATGTATTTTAAACAGCTTTGTGTATGCTTTTTTTCTCTTGTTCATTCTAAACTCCGCTAGCTGAGAAAATGCTATTCTATATGCACTAGATCTCACAAAGCTGTTTCTTCAAGAAAAGACTTGCAGAGCATTTAAGACGGAGTATTCATCTTGTCTACCATGCACAGAACTCTGGAAAAGCTCACTAGGTGACCTGGATGCACCAGCTCCAGAAGTGTCAGGCTTTGAACACGAAACCTACACAATCAGGACTGACGGGCTGGAGCTGGCAGCGTCCATGTGGCAAGCAGCCACACGTGCTGCAGGTTACAGCAGGCTCACGCAGGCTAAGTCATGGCTTCCACAAAAGCCAGGGTACTGACAAACCAGAGCGCTGTCCCCAGGCCTGCAGCCACCAAGGGGCTGAGCCCACTCAGCCACGGGGATCCAGGCCCAGCCCTGCAGGACTCACCTCCGCGGGATGCGCAGGAACTGCCTGTTCTCCTCATGCAGCTGCCGGACGTGCTGGGCCTCCTGCGCTGTGAGCAGGCCAGTGCGGCTCTGGGCAGACACGATCTGGATGTTCAGACGCTCTGCAGGAAAAGCGAGGCAGTCACCCAGAGAGCCGGCCGTCCCAGTCCCTGCTGGTCACC